GAAAATAAATTATTCAACAAATAAATTCGTTTAATATTGAACACACTGCAGCGCACCCCAAGCGCAGTCGCTGCTTACTGGGCAGTTAGTGCGTGTGGAGGGTTCAGGGTATCTCCTAGTCGAGCAGTCTCGACTAGAGTCTTCTTAGTTGTTTCAATAAATTTTATTATGGCACACAATAAGATTTGCACCTGTTTCTTGAATCAGTGATAAGTCATATCGTTATCAATATGTACATAAATATGTAGAATTAAATTGGTTTATTATATCTAAGAGAAATAGAAATTGTGATAAATATCAGTATATATCTCAGTTAGAACCGTTTTTGTATTTTCAATCTATAAATATAAATATGATTGTTGTTCCCATATACATATTATTAATTCTTATTTCTGTTCGCTTTTCTGTCGATCGCGCCCACTGTGCACAGATCATTTGGTTCAGCTTTAAATTTTCAGTGTGGTCGCCCTGAGCCTGTCGCCTTCGAATCTCAAGTAGCTGCCAGCTCAAGTGTTGTCACCAAATTTGTTTGTTTACGCTGCGCCCCTGGTTGTGCGGTTATCGTAATTCGATGCCACGAAACAAGAAATATAAAAACTCTGTGCAACGCGCCTTGAGGCGCCATCGAGGCACAGAGTCGGGCGCATGTCAAGTGGCCAAGCAAGCCAGCCAAGTCCTGCTCGTATGCCTATATATATATATATATGTGTGTGTGTGTGTGTGTGGGTGAGTGTCAACTGCCAACTGTCAACTGTCAGATTGTGGGCCATTGTTTACGTTTTGTGCTGCGGCACCTGCGCACTGGCCACATAAACAATCCGAGCAGCCTGTACCAGAAACGAATGTCACGAACGGAATGCAAACAAGTGGCTGTGGCAGCACGCGACAAACTGTTGCCCTTGTAGAGAGAGACTGCCCAATGCCCCTCCTTTTCCCCAAACATATATATATATATATATATATACATATCGATTGGTGGAGGGCATGCGCAGTGGAGCAGCTGCTGGCTGACATATCGAAGGAAACTCCTTTTGATGTAGACACAATAATTGCGGGGCATGCCACTGAAAAAGTATCTGGTGGTGCTGCTGCGTGTGCAGAACGTTCCCGTGCTTCGTCTGTAACGGTTCATAACATTTCTAGTGCGCTTTCACTGTGTGGCCAGCGTGTGCGTGTGTGTGTCTGCTGAGTGCGTGTGTTTGTGCCTGTGTCCGTGTGCTCAAGTAACAAGACAATAAAAACAAAGTCAAATTTGTCTAATTCGGTTGCCCGTTTAGTTTGCATCATTTGTAGTTGCATTCCAAAGTCCTTCATAAGTTTGCTTTTTGCATTCGATTCGCTGCTGAGTGTGTGCGTGTGCGTGCGTATGTGTGTGTGTGTGTTGCCTTCTTTGCCTTGGTTGCTTAACACGCACAACCACTCACGCTCACTCTGACACTCACACTCGCACTCACACTCATACAAACGTACAACATACTCAGACCAATACACACGCATTTGTGAAAAGTGAAAGTGACGCCCCAAACTTGGAGAACGCGACGAGCTTTGACCACATTCATCTATATACACAAATATATAAATATATAAAAATATATATTTATATATATATACATAAAGAGAGCTACATATACATAGATATATACATATATTGTACTTCGTCAGAGCGCCTATCAAAGTAATTTCGTAATTTCGTAATTTCGCCTAATTCAAATCTGTTACTGAGCTCTTTCTCAATTTTTAATCCCCATTTAATCTACAAACAGCCCTCGCCCCTCGCCCTCTCGGCCCCGCCCATCGCATCTTGTGGCCCGTGGCCCTTCTATTTATGCGTAGCACATACAAATTCTTGCACACACTTATACACAGCACAATTTGCTTGTCCCGACCATCAACAACCCCAATCTTCAATCCTGAGCCCCCCACCCCAACCACCGAAATTCTCCACGCATGCTGTAAATTCAATAAATACTTTTCGGCATTTATTTTGTAAATTCTCATCTTTCATTTCTCTCTTTTTTTGGTCTTGCAATTCGCTTTTCTGTCTTCTTTTTTCGAATATTTCCAACTGTTTGCAGTCAAAATGATATAATATTAAGCACGCTAACGGATCTCGACATCCGTTGATTTCAAAACTTTATACAATTCTTAAGCTGAGCCACAAATCAATTCAACTTGCAACAGGTAAGTAGCAAGAATTTTTCCCTCTTTCTTTACTTTTTCGTTATATAACTCAACAGGGTTTCTTTAGTCTGAAATTCAGGTAACATTTAAAATTTGGAAAATATACATATTTTCAATTATTTGGAGTAATTTTGTATACATTTTTGGCCCATTTTTCGTACTTTTACTGCATGTTCAACACTCATATTTCGATTCATAGCGTTGAAGCCCTGAAAATCCCCCTGAGTGCGCCCTGCGCCCTGCCTTCCAAGGACCGACTGTACATTTATCAATTTCCCGTTGCTACTGTCTACAATTGTTGTTCATGTTGTGGGGAATCATCATGCTCGTTCGCCATGTGAAAGGAGTATATTGGTTTTTGTACAAATTTTGTGTTGATTTGGTCCTGAGTCATTGTTGAGGCCTTGATAAATATCAATAACAATATACTCCAACTCACACAACTTTTTTAAATGTTTCTAAACGTTTTTTTGTTTTCCAAAACTCTCAAAGTAAAATCCTATTATATATACTGTTATGTTTGGCTACCATTTCTACTATTTTTAATTCTGGAAACCCCTTTGCATTTATTGAATCACAAAAGAGCATCGAGCAGTCGGTCCTGTTCGACTGCAGCATACATATTCGATGTAGTTGTTATTGGCGTTGTTGTGGTCCTTGTGTCGTGGCTCCTCTCGCTATTGTAGCTGTAATTTATTTGCCTCTGCTACGTTCAAGGACACATCCAGTGCAGGTGCTACACGCACGGCTAACCACAGACGGGCACACAGACAACGAGAGACAACTGTGGGGCCGAGCTGTTGTTGTCTGTGTGCCTGAATTACAATTTAATTACTTGGGGAGTCCTTGCAGACTTAAAGGATCAGCGCCAGCCACAGCCACTGAGTCAGCCTCGATGTGTGTGCTATATATAAACGCCTGTTCTCCAATTAAGTTCCGTTTTGGCTGGCAAGCTAAGCCCAAAGCTCGAGCTAAGTCCTGAATGGCCGCAACGCAACCCACACGGAAATCAATGCTTAAATGTCAGCTGAACGCCTCCCTTTCTGTCTTGCAGTAAACCCAAATGCCCGAGGCATTGATACTACCCGGCATGGCTGACGCAGAGCCGGACTTATCAACGTTCGAGAATAAAACGGGACTCGCCGAGGACATGAAGTTCCTGGCTTCAATGCCCGAGCTATGCGATGTCACCTTCCTCGTTGGCGACACCCGCGAGCCCGTCTGTGCCGTCAAGGTAGGTGTCAATATTTATATATAGATGTATATATGAATGTGTGTGTGTGTGTGTGTGAGCGTGTGCCTGCGTATGCGCTCGAAACCAGGTCACTGCGTAATCGACATAGCATCCAGTCCAGTTGAGAGTCCTATCCTATCCCTTATCATGATTTCTTCCTGCCACAGGCTGTGTTGGCGTCGCGTTCGCGCGTTTTTGCCAAAATGCTCTACGCTGCACCGTCACCGCAGCGAAAGAGGGAGACTACCACCAAGGAGAACAAGCTGCGACTCTTCCTCAAGCGTTCCTCGGAGCCCCTGCTCAATCTACAGAATGCCGCACAACAGGTTCGTAGTCTCATAATCGATTAACTTCAAAGGGGAGGGCTTTGGATATGTGTATGTGTATGTGTTTGTATCTATGTGTGTATGTGTGAGTGTGTGTGTGTGTGTGTGTGTGAACGAGAGTATGGGTGTGTGCTGATTGGGGCATTCGATTCTATTCGATTTTGAGTCGATTGATATTTTATTATTTATGTACATTGTTGTAAATATGTATTTACTAAATACCTTCATTAATATATATGTAACTTTTTTTGTGCGTACTCTGTTGTGACTCCATCCCCAAACATCCAAACATACATAAACCGCAAAATTACAAAATAAAAATCAAACACAACACCAAAAATAATATCCATAATAATAGAGAACCGGTTTCACCCAACAATTAGCTCCGATACCCGAGGTAAACGCTTTGTTAACCAAAGCGATAAACTCTATGTATGTGTATGTGTATGTGTGCGTGTGCGTATATTGAGTAATTAGTTATAATTAGTAGTTGTGTCCTAGTTAATAGTACAGTGAATCCTTTAACTATATCAAATTAAAGTAGTAAAATGTAATCTTAAATTTATAACTAATTCCAAACAAACTAATCCAAATTTTAAGCTAATTTATTTACTAGTTGAAAATGCTATTCACGAGAATTCACTGTACTTACTGTGCGTGTGTATGTTGTATATAGTATGTGTGCTTTAAGGCAGGCTTTGAAGAGATATACCATTATACGCTGTATATATTTATAAATGTCTAATAATACTCCTAAAAAATACGGTCCAAACTGCATCAAATACTAAGTAAATTTAATGTAGGATACGATAAATGTATTAATATTTGTAACACTTTGATCTTGTTTGCCTTGAAGAGTTCGTTAAACCAAGCTTCCTCCCTTGAAGTACTTGAACTAATTCTGTATATAAGAAATATTATATCTTCTATAAATATTATATCTTTTTTCTGCTATCGCTTTCCAATTACCTCTATATATCTATGTCCCTTATACCCTGCGCTTGACATTCATTTCCGTTCTATAGATACACCCTGTTCTATAAGTACATCTACAGTTCATGTTTTATGTGACCAATTGTCAAAACTAATCCCTAAGCTTGTGTTTCAAGTGTTCTTGTTCTACTAGCCTCTGTTAGCGGTAGTCTCTTTCAGGTAATTCCAAATCAGTTTTGCTAATATCCGCTTGTTTTTACAGCCCTCTGGTCAACAGCATCAGACGCTGATCATTGAGGAGTTCGAGCCGGATGTCTTCCGCCAGCTCATCGAGTACATTCACACGGGCTGCGTGACCCTGCAGCCGCGCACCTTGTTGGGTCCGTATTGAGAGCAATTATATTTAGATCCTGTTAGCTAACTTAGTTTTTCTTTCCTCCAGGCGTCATGAATGCGGCCGATTATTATGGATTGGAGGAGCTGCGTCGCGCCTGCGCTGGCTTTGTGCAGTGCTGCATCAATGTGGACACCGTCTGCGCCCTGCTGGCCTCCGCCGAGCGGTACATCCAATACAAGTGCACCAAGACGCTGGTGCAGAAGGTGCTCGAATTTGTGGACGAGCATGGCAATGAGGTTCTGAATCTGGGCAGCTTTACACTGCTGCCGCAGCACGTAGTACGCCTGATACTCGCCCGGGAGGAGCTGCGCGCCGATGAGTTCACCAAGTTCCAGGCAGCGCTCATGTGGAGCAAGAAGTATTTCGATAACAATCCGGTAGGCCTTCAATGATCCCCAAGGGAAGATCCAATAACAAATAGTTTCCCTCTCCCATTCAGAACATTGACATCAAGGAGATATTGGGAACGTTTCTGGAGTACATTCAGTTCCACAAAATTCCCGCCAATGTGCTGATGCGCGAGATCCATCCGCTGAACTTGGTGCCCTATGCAATAATCATGAACGCTCTGGCCTACCAGGTGGGTTGTGTGCTCAATCGTCCATTTGCTGTTGGCTGCTTTGCTGTTTATATAACTCAGTATCATTCATGCCGCATTACTTGTCTATCTATCTGTCCATCTACCTTTCTTTCCATCTGCCTTTCCATCTGTCTGTCAATGCACTTTTTAACCATCTGTCGCCCATCGCCTATGCTATCCATCCTGTTGTCCCCCTTTATGTCTGATTCTACAAATTGCAGGCAGACCCAGAAAGTATCGACCCCGGAAAACTGTCTCCCAACTCTAGCCGAGTAAGGCGCGCCCGTCAAAATCAAGGAAGGTCCATGTCCGTGCAAAGCTCGCTGGACCCGTACGGCTCGAACACCACGCTCAGCTCCAGCGGCAGCAGCGACCCCGCCAGTGGACCGCATCACAGCAACTAACATAGGTTGAACGGCCCCTCCTCCTCCTCCTCGTCCCACAACCAGCCACACCGCCATCGCCACCACCACCAATCGCTGCCCAAGATACGCAAAGCCAAGTCCCAATCGTTCCGCACTCGTCGCAGTCCCTCCGAGCGCCGCAGCCCCAATGCTCCGACTCTGACCCTCAACACAAATGCTACCAGCAGCGAGAAGAAGCGCAGCCCGCTGACACCGAAGAGTCCGGTGATGCCGCAGCCAGAGTCCAAGAGTCCGGGCAGCAGCTCGCAGAAGACGCCCACCACGCTCTCGCGCCAGGGCACGCTGCGTGCCTCCAGTCGCCGGAAGAACAGTGGCCAGTTGTCCATCTCGTTGAGTGCTCAGAGCCAGGGTCGGCGCAGTCCAGCGGGTCTCAACGATCGCAGTCCGCAGGGCCGCCGCAGCCCGCTCTTTCCCAGCAGCGGCCTGAGGTCCCCGAACGAGCAGCCCAGTCCGACAGCGCGTAGTCCTACAGGAGACTCACAGCGGCGCAGCCCGACCTTCAGCATACAGATCCATACGCAGGAGCGCCGCTCGCCCCTGGGCGCAGTCGCCCCCTCGGACTTCAGTTGCCAGGCGGGGCCATCGAACACGAGGCGCAGTCCCACATCCACTGTGCACGTGCAGGACATGGCCACAGAGCCGGAGGAGACCGGCTTCATTGGGCTGAAGCGAAACTCGATAAGTCTCTTCACGCCCATTTACTTTGCCAGCGAGAAACGAAGTCCCATGGGACCCATACCGCCCATTACAGTGTCCAATCCCGCCGAGACCTACAAGAGTGCAGAGCGCGAACGTGAGGCAGCCGAGGCGGCTGCTCGGGAGAAAGAAAAGGAAGCCGCCCAGGCCCAGCCGCAGCCCGAGAAGAAGAGCGTAATGCGAGAGATCCTGGCCTTTGTGCGCAAGCCATCGAAGCACCTGACAACGCGCACCAATCGCTTTGCCAATGCGTTCACCCGGGCCGAGTCTGGCTCGTCCAGCGGACCGCTCATACGGCAGAGCACGTTCTCGGCCAGCCCGGCAGCCTCGTCGACGGCCGCCAAGAGCGCCGTGCAGAAGCAGATGTCCGAGGTGGGCTTCGAGCCGAAGATGTCGCTCAAGTTTGCGCATTACACGAAGATGTCCCTGAAGCTGCGTCGTCTAGCCCGTCGGGAGGAGGAGGAGAAACAACAGCAGCAGCAGCAACAACAGCAGCTGCAGCAAAAGTCATCGGCGGTCAGCTCGGCGTCCGGGTCGAAGCGAGCCAGCACGGACTCGAATGCGGGCAACGCACAGGATCAGGTAGGTGCAAGCGGAGCAGAGGAGGAGCTGCCATTCGAGCTGGCGAATGTGCACTTTGAGAAGGTAGGTGAGTCCTATATCAAGCATGAGCGACTCCGCGAACTGGTCGAGCCCGAGCTGGAGGCCGAGGACGAGCCCGAAGAGGGCGAGCCGGAGCAACCGGATGCTGCCATGGCACAGTTCGTCGAGGACGTGACCAACTCCCTGAAGGTGGTGGCACTCAATGGCGAGAACGGAACACCGGCTGTCCATCACTTCACGCGGCGCTCCGAGAGCCGGGAACCCATCGAGCCGCGGATCAGCGAGGAGCGTGAGTCCGACTCGAATGATCTGATCATACCCGACGAGCTGCGGGCGGAGCTAACGGAGATTTTGAAAGCCTATGCACCAGAGCCAGTTTATGTTAATCTGCAGGCGCTGCGGCGCGAAACCGAGGAGGCCGAGGCGGTGGCACGTGCCGTTGCAGAGGCAGCCGCCGCTGTGGCGGAAGCAGCTGCAGCTGCAGCTGCGGCGGCACCGCCAGCGCCCGAGAAGCTGCCGCTGCAGTGTCCTACTATTGAGTTTGAGCCGCCATCGCGTCGTTCGTCCTTCGATCCGCCGCGCTCGCCGTTCCTGGAACAGCTACGCAGTCCGGGCGTCGATACGGACACAGATCTGATCAATTTGCAGCGTCTGGACTCCGGCGGCGACAGTTTCGAGATGGTCGACGGTGATCGCAAGTCCAGTCGAGCCGAATCCAGTTTCGACTGCCCCTACTCCTCGCGTGACACCAGCTTCGATGTGTCCATATCCCGTTATCAGTCCACCAGCTACGAGGATCAGACCTCTAGCTTCGAGATCGTCGACACGGACGATCGCCGTCGACACATTGATCTGCGCAAGAGCTCGATTGAGCTAGTCGATGCGGAAACCTTTCAGCGTTCCGGCTCCTCCTGCGGCCGCAAGTCCTCCCTGGAGACCCACTTCGACTACACGCCTTCGGAGACGAGCGGCATGACGCCGGCTCGATCCCCCAACTTCCCCATGACCAAGAAGCAGAAGACCGAACATTTTCGCCAGCTGCACATCTCGCCCTTCAGTGCCTTCTCGCGGGCACGCAGCCCGCTCTCACAGCAGACCTCCTCCAATTACAGCTCGCGCGACAGCTACGACTCCAGCTCATCCTATCCGCATGGCCATGAGCCGCAGCGCAGCCCCTACGCTGACCCCAGCAAGAAGCACTTTCCGCTGACCATCAAGCAGCGCGAGGAGGAGGTCAAGACATTCCTGTGCACCGATGTGCGCTGTGCCTCGATCTTCGAGCCGCGGCCCAGCTCGGTGCTCACCCAACAGCTCTCCACGGGCTCCATGTCCACGCCCTCCGCCTCCGGCTACACCAGCGCTCCACGCATACCGAGCGCCTTGAGCGGGGTGACTGGCGTGCCCGCCTCTGGCACGGGCGTTGGCATGCCCATGGGCATTGGCGTAGGCCCGACGAATGCCTCGCTGGGTTCCTGTGGATTTTCCAGCGGCAGCGAGTTCGAGCCGCCCTCGCCGCGGCGGGCGGCCAGCGCCTCGCCCAAGCACACGTTCACATTCCGCATCGTGATGAAGAAGGTTGACAGCTCTCCGGAGGCGCTGTGCCCGGAGCGGCATCGTTCGCGCATCATCGATCGCTATCGGCGCCGAGATAGTCGCCGCAAGCGCATCCACGATGCGGGCAAGAGTTTCTAAACGGCGATCGAGGGCACGAATCAATCAAGTGTTAAAAGAAGCTCCCCATGCTTAGTCATTGAGATCGAGATAGACAGCCAAGGGAAATGTTTCTTGAACTTTAATCTTCGTTCGTTCCTCAACTGAGTCATAAATCCATGTGTATCTTTTGATCGACTTCTCAATCCCAGGCAGCAATCTAGTGTGCGCTGTGAGACGATATTTTTGTCAGCAGGCATACAGTTTTCTTCGACAATCTAAATGTTATTCAACCCAGGATTTGCCACAAGCAACCCACTGGCAACCCTCTAGTCGTAAGTTCTTACAGAAACTCAATGCGAAGATCAAACTTTATAAAATGGTTCTGGTTTTTAGGCCGTTTCAAAACTCTATGCTAGGTGTTTGTATTTGTAAATGACGAGTCCTTGAATAAATCTATTTATATACATATAGATAAATATATATTTAATGTATAGGCTAAGTTAGATCATTTTTACATGTAGGCTAGCACACTTCATTAACATTTAATCATCTTCAAGGATAATGCTCGGCTCATGCTTGCGAGGTACAAATGAAAATTTACACTACAAATTTGTTGCTAAGCTGCTTGAAAAATCTCAAAAGAAAAGTTTAAAAAAAAAAAAACAAACAAAGAAATTCTAAAAAATCTACAAAATATATGTGAAACAATAATTCCTCCCACGATTTACCTGATTACTGATTAAAAGATAGAGAACATTTATATGTATACATGATAAATGTTTATCTATATGATCTTGCATTAATGTTAATAACTAAATGTTGTAATGTTTGTGGTATATTGTGAACAAATATTACGAGTATGTGCGCATTTTACGTGGTTCCTGTTATATAGATATAAATATATACATATATATATAAATATGTATTACAAATTTTGATGGACTAGCTATTATATATATTTATATATGTATAATATTGTTAATGATCAATTCTTTATGTATAAAAATCTGCTATTGCAAGGGACAACGTTTATTGTTTAAACTTAAGACTAAACTAAACTTAACTAATGAAAGAAATGTTAAATCAGATTTAAATTAAATTAGGCATTTGCTATATATACCCTATATATGTGCATGTGTATATATACATACATATGTTAAAGTAAATCTAAAGCTGGATTTGGGGCCGTACTTAAATCTTAAAATAAAAACTTTTGTGCCGAAAAATTTTAAAAAATTAAAATTTATATTTAATGAGAGCCAAAAAAAAAAAAAGAAAAAGAAAAACAACAATATGGGATAATTCATATTTCGTGTTGTTCATGTTTGTTTGTGAGAGAAAAAGGAAACTAAACCTAAGCAATCTATGTGGTGTCTAAGAAATTCATAAGATTATTAACTAAGAGCAGCTGTAAGCATAATTTATATAAACCAATGAAAAAGCAAAGAAAATGAAAATGATATCAACATTTTACAGGTATTTACGCATATAAAGCATTTAATTCTATATACTATATACATCTATAGATATACATATACATACATACATACATATATTTATTGTACTTACACGACATTGACAACAACAACAACAACATGAGCCACAGCTGCATCGGCATAGAATATGCATATGTATGTACTATATATATGATAAATCCTGCCGTGCAAACCCAAAACAATTTTGTTCGTACAACTAACATGAATGCAAGTAGTTGAAATGTTGCTATATTTTGATTTGTAGTTGCTTGTTTTTAAAAACTAAAACGAAACGCTTGACAACAATCCGTAGTACTCGAAAGCGATGTCAATTTTGATTTGCCTGTGTATGCGAGAGCTTGACAGATGGCTCCCTCTGTCACTCTCTCTTTCTCTCAGCAGAGCGAGAGAGAGAGGCGAAAACAGCCAACTACAAATTTCACAAATGCGACTTTCTTCTATTTACAGACATTTTACCTAGCGGATTTATTGGATGTGGAATGCGCAGGCGTGGCCATATGCATTTTTATCACAGCTAATTATATATGTATAAATATTGAGTGGGAAAGAGGGGGAGGAGAGTGAAGTAGAGAGAGTTGCCATTCATGTCCACTTCCAGTTGCAGTTGGAAACGTGTTCTTTATCGTTCAAGTTTATACTTTATACGTTTCTATCGTTATCGTTGCAGTTATCGGGCTATCGAACTTATCATAAGTATATATATGTATATGTATGTGTTTGTGTGGCCATTCGTTCAGCCAAAATTATAGTTTATGTGCGTTTTATTGTAACAATTGAGAAATAAATCCCGATTCAATGTCGTTATTCGAAAATGAGAACAGCAACTTTTTGGAATATCCGCTTTTATTATTCACTCAGCCCTTACAGGCGAGCCTCCGTGTGCAGAGCGAGCACGCCGTCGAAGTCCTCGGCTCCGATGTGAATGTAGCCATAGCCATTGCCGTCCACCTTCACCGACTTGCCTGTGCAGGCGCCATTCACCAAGTTGCCGGAGATGACGTCGCAGTACTCGCCCGCGGGCAAGCAGGTTTGCAAAGTCTCCGAGAGGTCGTAGAGGTTGTTGTTGAAGGCGACGAAGCCCTTGGAGCCGCGACAGAAGGCAATCTGGTTGTCGCCGTTGTCCCACCAGTTGTTCATCTGGGTGCCGCGGACGGCGTTCTTGAAGCCGACCATGTTGTAGATCTGGCGCCAGCGATGCTCACAGATCCAGCCATTGATGCAGCCGCCGTCCTCATCGAACTCCGGCGAGATGATGCGCTCCTCGGCATCCTGGGGCGGCGCCTGGTCGCGATCATCGAAGCCAAAGGAGCTCATCACCTGGCTGATGCCATAGGGATAGGCCAAATGGAAGGCGGTGGCCATTTTGTACTGCTTGGGCGACTTGTAGTTCAGCTCCTGGCCGCCGTCGCGCTGATTGTCGTGGTTGTCCACAAAGGTGAGCGCCTGCTCAGAGGGCAGGAATCCCCAGTCGGTGCCCCAGCTCGATAGCCATTTCAGCGCATTGTTGCCACGGAATGCCTTGCCGATCTCCTCTGAGAAACGGAACTCGGTGACTGCGCCCAGGGGCGTGTACTCATCCCGTGAGACCGTCTCGTGGCCATGGTCGATGACCTCCTGGTAGATGAAGGGCCTCGCGTTGTTGGGGAAGCCGTGGTCTGTGTTCAGGTTGCGCGTGTTGCTGTAAATATACTAAAGAGCAAGATATATACTGAACTGCTACAACTCCAAATACTGCAAGTCTCACCTCCAGATCAGTGGCAGCCATGTGCTTGGCCGCATCCACGCGGAAGCCAGCCACGCCGAGGGAGATCAGGTGATCGAGCACCTCGATCAGCTGCCTTCTCACGTAGTCGCTGCTCTGGTCGAGATCCTTGAGGCCCACCAGCTCGCAGTGCTGCACCTGGAATCGATCGTTCCAGTCGTGGATCTCGCAGCTGGGATGGAAGTCCTGCTGTGTGTAGGGTACGCCCGGGAAGGATTTGCTGCTGGGCTCAGCCACCGAGCCGCCAGTGCCTCGGGCAGTGCCCACCCAATCGCCGGACATGTGGTTGAGCAGAACGTCCACGTAGATGCGGACGCCCACATCGTTGCAGCGACGCACCATGTCGGCGAACTCGAGCTCGTTGCCGGAGCGTGTGATCAACCTGTAGGAAATGGGCTGATAGCGCTCCCACCACGGCCGACCCTCGGACACGATGTTCTCGGCCACGGGGCTCACTTGGACACCTGCGTAGCCATGCGGGGCAAGAAAGTCCTCGCACTCCTTCGCTATGTCCGCCCACTTCCATTCAAAGAGATGCACGATGGTGTTGCGGTTGCCCCACCAGTGGGGATTGTGCTGGGCCACCGCCAACCCGGCTAACAAACAGACTAACGTCAACTTAAGCATGGCCAAGAACTGTTACTGAAAGCCACGCGACGATCCGCTCTTATATACATACGCCACCTAATCTAATCAACACCTGACCAGGGATTTACATGCTTCGTGTGGAGCCAATTTACTGCCCGGCCAATGGCGAATTTTACGCGAATTTACGACGGCCGCAGCTAACTGTCATGTTGACCTATGGTAATAGTCTTCGTACAACAACATGACTCAGAAGACCAGTCAAAATATGTGTATTTGTGATAATAAATATTGATATGCCTGGCAAAGAAGCTTCGCTAGCTGTATTTATATTTACAATCCATTCAGTTCGAACTTTGAAGGGTTGTAGCCATAATATACTCTGTGATTATGAAAATTTTATTTAATCACTATTCAATTTATTTAGAGTTTTCTTTTTAGTATTGTTCTTTTTTAATATTTGCTTACATTTTATTATAATTTACTCTATTCTTTTGTTCGAATATTCAATCCGCACAATTTTTGAATTTTTGTTTTAATCGATATATTCAAGTGTTTGCCTTGCGATAGCTTATAGTGCATACAAAGCCTGAGGGAACTATCGATAAGCAATAAGTCGCTCATTAACTCATTTCATTAATAGGTAATATACATAATTTTCTTTTCATAAATTCATTTCAAAACATAATAAAATGTAATTAATGAACTGTTTGTAGTTAAAGGCAACAGCTGCTTTTGTTGCCAATACTTTGAAAAGTAGAGCTATGGCACAATGTTGCCAAGTGTGTTGTTGCTAGGTACCAGAAATGTTGCAAAGAATTTTACAAAAAATTAATAATTTACCGGCGTTTACTGTGTTCATATTTTACTCTGTGTTTAATGCTGCAAGACTTATAATATTACTGGCGGCAAAGCTTTGCTAAGCATGTGTATGTAAAAGCTCAAAATGTTGCTAAGCCAGAGGTGTTTCAAAGCTATGATAAAAGTTGTAAAGCTCAAAATGTGTCTATGCTAAATGTTGCTAAGCACGGTTAATTGCCTTTAATATAAATTCTCAAAATGTTGCCAACTCAATTGTACCCGAGCCGTGTCTAAAGTTGCAAAGCTCAAATAAAATATTGCAAAGCTGTTGTCCAGAATATGTATGCACATATATTGAGAGAGTATGTGTATAGAGTATTTGTGCTTCTGTATTACGCGTTTACGTTTGCCTGTACGTTAATTCAAGTTCTTTAATATATGGTTGATGTCCGAAGTGCTTATC